CTGTCGTACTGTGGGGCTTGTGTGTTGCTGTGATGCAGGAAGCTATGCCGCCAGAATTCAAATACCTTCAGGGTCACTCATGGTGGACAGGTTTCAGCTGAGCTTCTAGACTAAGACCGACTAGGAAGAAGGACCCAGCAGTCTACTTCTGAAAAGAACTAGCCAGTGAAACCCTTACGAATAGCAGTGGAACACTGTCTGATATAGTGCTGGAAGCTGAGGCTTCAGCATAACAATGATTGTGAGGACGGCGCAGGACCAGGCAGTGTTTCGTTCTGTTGTACATAGGGTCGCTGTGAGTGAGAATCGATTCGACAGCACCTAACAACAACGACAGATTGCCGTGAAGAAACTGTTCATAGAATTATGGATATCAAAGACAATTCTGCTAAGGGCTTGGAAGGAAGTGAGGTAAGCTATATAGAAAGTCTCTGTCATCTTAGAGAATACATATGGTGCCAGTAAAAGAATGTTGCTAGAAATGTGGACATTGAATGTGCTTCTGATGAGGCTTTAAAAGGAAATGATGAACATGTGATTGGACCATGGAGGAAGGGTGATCCTTTTTACACAATGGCAAAGAACTTGTCTGAATTATGTTCAAATGTTTGGTGGAAGGTAGAACTTGTAAGTGATGAACCAGGATAGTTAGCTGAGATTTCTAAGCAAAATCTTAAAGGGGCTTTGTGGTTCCTCCTTGCAGCTTATAGTAAAATGCGAGAGAAAAGAGATGGACTTAAAAATGAGCTGTGCAAAATGAAAACAGAACCTAAAGATCTGGAAAATCCTGTTGTACAAAATACGGACACGTGTCCAAGAACATTTACCAAGGATGTGGCTACACAATCTTTTGCTAAAGAAATTAAGCCTCTGACTGATGGATCTAACCACCCACCACGGCAAGCCTATGACTGATGGATCTAACCACCCACCACAGCAGGACATCCGTCGGCTGAGACTGAAGAGCACAGAGAAAGAACAAAAGGCAAGAATGCTGTCTGCCTCCTGGATTCTACAGGCAGGAAACAGGCCAACGGAGCTACACCTGATGTCCTCCGAGAAAAAGAAAGGATCATCCCTGGAGCAGACTAAGATCCGCACAACTGTCAGAAGTAGCATGAGAAGCAGGGCTGCATTGGTTTCCAAGGTTGGACCACGGTCTCCTGGATCTCAAAGGGTGGGGCCGCAGCCTCCTAGGTTCCAAAGAGTCAGAGCTTGGCCAACTCAGTTCCAGAGTGTGGGGCTGCTGTTAAGGTGTGCTGGGGGTTGGGGCCACCGCCCAAAACTGATGGGGTGGGGCTGCCATGCCCAAGTGGCAGAAGAACGGGGCCTGCCAGGGCTGAGGGGGGTGGGGTCACCACTCAGATGGACTAGGAAAATGGGGCCACCCAAAGTAAAGGGAGCAGAGTTGCCATTCGAATGGGCCTGGAAGGTGGAGCTGAAGTCCAGGGCTGAGGGGTCCCCACCCAGAATCCAGAGGGCGTGGCCAACACCCAGAGCATGGAGAGCAGGGCCTTGCCCAGATGGTCTCAGAGAAGAGGAATTTTCAAGCCTTGAGAGCAAATGTCAATTGTAAATTGTTCTGCTGGGTTTTGGACTTGCTTGGTGCCTGTTAGCCCTTCTTTCCCTCCAATTTCTCCCATTTGTGATGGAAATGTCTACCTTGTGCCTGTTCCACCATTGTACTTTGGAAGCAGATGACTTGTACTCTAGGTTTTCACAGGTCACAGATGAAGAGGAATTTTGCCCCAGGATGGAATGTGCCTGAAGTCTCGCCCACATTTGATTCCAATGACTCAGAAGAGGAGATTCTGGACTTGGAGGTGATTTCAGACTTTCGGGACAGTGTGATGGGGGTGAATGTGTTCTATATGTGGCAAGGCCATCAATTTTGGAGGGCCAAAGGGTGGAATGTTATGGATTGAATTGTGTCCTCCCCTAAAAACATGTGTTGGAAGTCATACCCTCTATGCCTGTGGTTATAAACCCATTTGGGAATGAGTTGTCTTTTTATGTTAATGAGGTTGGATTAGTGTAGAGTGTCTCTTGAGTCAATCTCTTTTGAGACGCGAAAGAGATTAAACAAGTGAGCAAAGCTTTGATGGGGGAAGAAAGACGCCAAGACACATGGAGATCGCCAAGGCACCAGGAAATAGAAGCTGAAGAGACAAGGACCTTCCTCCAGAGCCAACAGAGAGAGAAAGCCTGCCCCTAGAGCCGGCACCCTGAATCTGGACTTCTAGCCTCCTGAACTGTGACAAAATAAATTTCTGTTTGTTGAAGCCACTCACTTGTGATATTTCTGTTATAGCAACACTAGATAACTAAGACATTGGGGAAGCAAAATAGACCACAGATGTTTACGTGAACTGAAGCAAAGGGCCAGGATTGATACATACGTGTATCCGTTCGCCGCAATCATGTCAGCCATGTATCTGGTGTTTGGCAGCTGCCAGCCAAATATGTCCTGGATGACAATCACGGCTCTGCCGGTGTTGACGGGAGGCTTGCTGACGTATGCCCTCATGTGCTCGATCTGGACCTCGTGCCCCAGGCCTCCATATTCCATCTTGTGGCCAATATCACATGGGCAGGGGTTGGCTTCATTAGCCATTGCAGGGATCCAAGTCGGGCTGTAGAGAGGACAACACGCGTTACATTTTAAATGGTGCAACCCTCAGGACTGCAAGTGAGCTCAAGTCAGGATTACAGGGGGAAAAATCGCTTTAACTCCACCCGCGGTATTTAACAGGAGTCCCCGGGCCTGCAAACGGTTAACAGACTGGGCTGCTAACTGGAAGGTCGAAGGTTCAAGTCAACCCAGAGGCTCCTCAGGAGAAAGACCTGGCAATCTACTTCCAAAAAACCAGTCACTGAAAACCCTATGGAGCACAGTTCCACTGTGATGCAGACGGGGGTGCCGTGAGCCGGAGTGGCCTGGACAGCAGCTGTTACGTATCTATGATATTTATTATGTAAGGAATCAAGGGTAATGGCAGGTTCTGGCAACACAGCAGATGAACACCGCAAGGATCCATTCCCATTACAAACACCAGGAACGCTAGATGGAATACAGCCAATAACAAAAGTGAGCACGGAGGGTGGGGCTCGAAGGGAAAAAGGACTAACCCAGGAAGCAGGGTTGGAGGGGAGACAGAGTCGAGGACGGAGCCAGGGGGCGCCAGGGCCCTCACACTCGGCTGCTGAGGACTGGGGGTCCCACGCCACCCTGTGTGCATGTGAGGCGGAGATTTGTAGCTGGGGCCACACACCCCCTCCAGCAATGCCAGGGCCCTCAGAGGTCCATACTTAGTGAAATAAATAAATCTAGAGAAACTCCATCCAGGACCAGGAACACGGCAACGGAGCCCATCTCGCTCAAAGCCCTCCCTGGGTTGTTGTCCCTGCACCCAGTCGGCCCCTGACTCATGGTGACCCCATGCACAAGGGAACAAAAAAGGCTGCCCGGTCCTGTGCCATCCCCAGGACCGGTTGCAGATAGGGCCGTTGTGATCCATAGGGTTTTCACGGGCTGATTTTCAGACGTAGATCGCCAGGCCTTTCTTCCTAGTCTGTCTTAGTCTGGAAGCTCCGCTGAAACCTGTGCAGCATCATAGCAACACACAAGCCTTCACTGACAGATGGGTGGTGGCCGCACAGAGGCCCACTGGCTGGGAACTGGCCCCCGTGGAAGGTGAGAATTCTCCCACTGAACCACCACTGCCCCCAAGCTCTGGGTAGAAGACAGAAAAGAAATCAGCCTGCAGTTTACACTATGCTGTGATCCAGGAATACGGAGGCTGCGAACGGACAGAACGGCTCACCCTGGGCCAGCAACACCTGGGCGCACCTGGCAGAGCAGATACAAATCTGCCACAACCCAGGCCAACAGTCCTGCCCCCCACCCCCCAGAAAGAAGCTCGAGGCAGGGAAGGACACACCAGCAAGGGACCCAGCCAGCAATCATCAGACACAACAGGCAAGAGCCTTCCAGGTGAGAGAGACAGGCAGGGCAAGGAGAACCTAAGAAAGAGTCATCCATCAGACAGATTCAGGAAAGAAGAAAACACAACGCATTAAATAACGCGGCTGAAACACACCTAAACAAATGTACACATCGAATCCACTAGGGAGACAGATTCTCAAACTGGATTTTTTTTAGAAGTCAGCGTTCCCTCGGAGAAGAGGAACTGGGGACATGGAACACTGGGATGAAGTCTTGTCACCAGGTGTGAGCAGTTACCCAAATGACCCACATATGAACCCGCTGAGCGAGCTTCCACAGAGATCACGTTATATGACTACAGCGGAGAAATTATCATAAAAAACCGAAAGGTTTAGAATTACAATGAAAACACTACACAGCAGAAGTTTATAAAATACGGTGGTTCCTGGGGGAACTGCTAACCACAGGCTGGAGGTTCAAATCTACCCGGAGGTGCCTTGGAAAAAAGGCCTGGTGATGGATCTACTTCTGAAAAATCAGTCATCAGAAACCCCACGGAGTGCAGTTCTACTCGGACACAGGTGGGGTAGCCCTGAGACGGAGTCCATCTGACAGCGGCTGGCTTAATATCTACAATCACTGATTTTAGGTAAAGCGGATTACCCCCC